TACAATTTGGCAAAACAACGAACTGAGAATGAGACTGGTAATTAAAATCACACAACACAACTCTTTCATTTATGCTTCCTCAACTTCAAAGCGCAGCCAGAACTTCATAATGGACTAGTCTTTTTTTCTAGATGTCAAATTAACTGAAACAGTTAATTTCTGGATGCAAGAGCAACAGAAACTTTTGGATGGTGTGATCTCAAGCCATTGAAATGACCAAGGGAACAGGGAGATGAATGCCAGGTAGAAGGACCACTCTATCAGCCAGGATATGCCAGCCATTGGCAAGCTTTCCTGGCCTGGCAAAGGCTGTGCAGATCATGGCAATGGACAAAAAAAAAAAAAAAAAAAAAAAAAAACAAGCTCTGGCAGAGAGACAGAAGCTGAGGAAGGAGAGGTCTGTATTTAATCAACAGTGGGCAGCCTGCAGGGGGAGATATCTGACTGCTTTTAGTCTCTTATTAAATTATTATGGTCACTCTATTTGTACTTTGTTCTTCTAAAAGCTTAAGGCATCACGTATGAGGTTCTTCCCCTAATTTTTTCCTGACAAATCACCATCTTATAAGGATCGAAAGAGTGTGACTAATCCAAAATTGTCAAACAAGCTCAAGGGGTTATCTAGATCTGATTTTCCCAGGTCCCAGTTCAAGACCTTGCCTACTCTACTGGTTCTCCTTAATGTCACCTAGACAGGCATCAATCAGGCTTTGGGAAAGGTATATAAAGAATGTGAAGCTGGGAAATTCAGCCTGATTCGCAATAGAATAGAATAGCTTTATTGTCACTTTGAATGTAGACTAATCAGCATACATTTAAATGAAATATCATTGCATACAACTCTCAAAGGGTTACCACTTCCAATATACCCTACACAACCATGACAGAATAAATAAATATAAAATTATGCATATACCGACATATATAATACACAGAAACAACACAGTTTAATTTGGATGTATATATGTACATGGCGAGAAAAATGAACATTGTGAGTTTACCAGATGGATGGCATAGGGAACAAAGCTTACAGAATATGGTAGTCCTGCTCGAAATACTTTCAAACCTTCTCCCAGAGGAGAGCAAAAGAAACAGTGTGGATTCTCTAACAATATTTTGAGCTCTAAGCACATAGTGCTTATAAGCAATATTCTGAATAATAAGTGAGCTTCCTATAATCTTCTCGGCTGTCCTTACCACTCTCTGTATGGACTTTCTATCTGAAGCACTGCTGCCACCAAACAGTGATGCAGTTTGTTAAAACATTCTCAATCATGCCTCTGTAAAAAGTGGCCAGGATAGAAGGAGAAAGATGTGCTCTCCTCATCCAATACAGGAAACGCAGATCCTGGTTTGCATGCTTCGCTAAGGATGATGTGTGGAGAGACTAATTCAGATTGTTAGTTATCAGCAACCCCAGATATTTAATACTGTTGACAAAATTCCACTTTGTCAAAGGATAATACCATTAAAATGCCCTCTTACTGCTTAGCATGATAAGAAATCTCAGCTCAATGTATTGATTCATAATGGTCCATGAGTTGAAAATATGTGTTGCCATTCCTTTTTGTATCTCTCATTTGGATTGAAGAAGCCACCAGCAATTTCTTTCTATACTGTCTTTGCTAATATTCCACTGTCAATATTCCACCAATACTCCATCCTACCCAATTCTAAGGAGAAAAAACAGGACTATTCACTTACTCAAGAATATTTCTTCAAGCTTGTTTACTATCACTCTGATAGTATGCTTAATAATAAAAGCTACTCAATTGCAATAGTACTTAGACTTAAATACCACTTCATAGTGCTTTACAGCACTCTCTAAATAGTTTACAGCATCAGCATATTGCTCCCAACTTCTGGGACTTCATTTTATCAACCTGAGAAGGATAGAAGGCTAAGTCAACCTTAAGCTGGTCAGGATCGAACTCCTGGCAATGGTCAGAGTCAGCCTGCAATACTGCATTCTAACCACTGGCAGCTATTTTCCAATTTCTCCCACGTCTCCACCTTAATCCTTGGTACCCCTTCTGTTCTAAAATTGGAATGTGAAGAGAATTTGGTACTTTTGCATTGCCTGGTGATCTATTTGGTATGTATTAAATTACTTGTATCCAACTATCAACTGAGCCAATGTTTAGGCTTCCTCTAATAAGGACTTGTCACTTGACTAGGAATTATTACACACACACAGGAGACACTTTGGCCTGAAAACAGGAAAACAGAGAAGAGAAACGGTTTCAAGTAGACTCAAGGAGATGTGCTCAGCCCAACTCATGCCAGGGGAATGAAGCACCTTCCTTCACATGCACCTGCCATCAATTTTTTTGGCAGTGGACACAACTTTGCTCTCTGTTATGTTTAGCCACGTTAACAGGTGATAGTCAATCATGAGGTGAAATAAAAAGCAAGGAAACCATTCCCAAGTCATTCTTCTGATTATTTTGCTACCGTAAATTTCTCCTGGAAAGTTTAAACATAGTAGCTTTATTCACAGAACATGTTACATCTTAAATCTGGGTTAAGAAATCATGGTCGTTGGGTTCACATAATACACTATTCTCCTCCTCCTCATTTATTGTAGCCAAGGGCAGGAATATTAAACACTGGGAAATAAAACAAAACATTCAGAAGTGCAACATTAAGTGTTGCAGATGTCCTTATAGATGCTACAGTAAAACAAGACATACTGAGCTGTTTTCAAACGGCTGATTCCACATGAGTAATTTTTTTTTCTTATAAAGACCTTATAGTACTTTCCCAGTGGTAGCAAAATACTATGTCTAGCCCAGAATACTGTACAACTTTCCTTAACTTGAGAAGTGTAAAGGAGAAGAGAACTGAGCTACTTCCCAAATGCCCTTTGTCATCCTGGTCCTGTTTTCATGTGCCATTCTATTTACTACCACCTGAAACTTGATATTGTTTAGTACCTGCAGAAATGTATGCTTATGCTATCCTCAAATAAATAAACCACATGACAACCTAACAGTTCTTATAACATGGTGAAACTCAGAGCATCAAGCCCTTTTTACCTATTGCAAATCTAGCTAGCATTATACCAAGGATCATGTTTCAAAAGTTTCTTCCTCAAAGATTAAGACTTGATCATATGTACCGCTCCTATAACTACACAGACTCACAGTGGTTTTAACAATAAATTGTTATAAGCAATAAAGTTGTGTCCTTGGCAGTCTCTCAACTTGATTGTTTTCTTGTAGACGTTTCATTACCAAATTAGGTAACCTCATCAGAAGCAACCAAGCTCAGAGACCACCAAGGAACCCACAGTTCAACCGTGAGCTACAAAGCTTCTCTTCTATCAAAAGCAATAAAGTGTTATCTGAGGGATTCACGCAGGTAATCCTTGATTTATGTCTGGTTGCTTAACAATCACTCAATGTTATAACCAAGTTGGAAAAAGCTACAACCCATTCTTACAGTTACAACTGTTACACCACACCCATGAGTATATGATTACAATCGTAGCGCTTGGTAACCACCTAACATTTACAACTGGTTGCAGCTTCCTCTGGTCACATATTCATATTTTGAGACTTTTTTAGTGTCTTTCAGCCAAAAACACCAATTGGATAAGCCACAGGGCCTTTTCAGTTATTGCTCCCATCTCCAGAATAGCATCCTCCCAGAAATTAGACTGACCCCACACTTCTGAGTTTTCAAAAAACTATAAAGCTATAAAGACCTGGTTCTTACAGTTATGTTACCTGGTTTCTTCCTATAGAAAAAAATATCTTTGTTTGAATTTTTTGATACAGTAATGATGCCTGGGTATTTAAGTTTTTATTTTTATGTACTATTTTAATCCAATTACTATATTGGGTATGTGTGCAATTCGGAGCCTACTGTGATGTAATCTATAAGCCCAATAAATAAATTAGACCCATAAAAAACAGAATTACAGATTACAGATAAACAGAGTTGGAAGGGACCTTGTAGGTCATCTAGTGACTAGTCCAACTTTCCACCCAAGAAGGAGACTAATTTTCTTGTCTTGTCTTCTTCTGATGCATTGGATCCCCTCTTCTTTGTGGCAGCCCCTCAAATATTGGGACACTGCTATCATGTCACCCCAAGTTCTTCTTTTCACTAGATTAGACATACCCAATTCACAAAATTTTTTAAAAAATCACAAATTCATCAATCAAGGAACAGATTTATTTATTACGCTTATATGCCACCCATCTCATAGAAGTCAACGGACAGATGACATCATTCCCCAAATGCCCTCAAACACAAACCATTTTTGCTAGCTTGTGGGAAGCCATCAAGATGAACACTAGCCTAGTCTTAAGGGGAAGGTGACTGCAAAGTACAGGGGCCACCAATGAAAGAGGCTAACTGCGAACCCCAATTTTCTTTACCTCCTTCGTCTGTACCATTAATAGATTTGGCCTGCACTGCATGGGCCACTTCTATCATCATCATCTTTTAACGACCCCATATTCCCTTACGGAGTGGTGTCTGGGCAACTGAATGGAGGTGAGCGTTTACTGGCTGGATGCCCTTCCTGTCACCACTATGGAGCTATATTTAGCAGACATATACTCATCATGCCCGGAGAGAGAAATATCTGCCTCAACCTAGGATCAAACTCACCGCCTCCCGATTGTGAGGTGAGAGCTCCACTTCTAGGCCACCACACCATTCTCATGGGTCACTTCTATGTGGAAAAGAAACCCTCAAGATATAAGCAATTAGTTCATATATGGGTTTGTAGATACAGTAGAAACAGGATTTTGGATTTCAGCTCGAAACATTTAGATAACCAGTGCAGAGCCCACAACACAGTTATAATTTGGGTATGTGTTTTATTTGCCAACCTGCAGGCTGCTGCATTTGAGAACAACTGAAGACTATTTTAAAATGTCTTGAATTCCTCTCTCCACATGGATGCTGCCCCTTGTATTTTCCACAGGTTTCAACATGCTGCTATGACCAGAAGGGTAGTCTCCAGCCACCCCACTTTTACTCACCAAGCCTGCGGCTTCCTTTTCACCATGCCCTGGCGTCGCCATTGAGAGTGGGGGCTGAGGTGGTATGTCAGCTGCCTGCAGAGCTTCTCCATAGTCCCTAGTGAATCCCCCTCCTGCGGCAAGAACAAAAGAAGAAGAATCATTATAGACAATGCAGCCATCGCAAGGAACTAGCCTGAAGGGGATTGTCTGTAGACAACGTGCATGACCTCTTGAGAAGCTAGTTGGAGGAAAAGGAGACTAAGCACGGAATATCTTCTGCAAGACTTGGGCCTCCCTGGATAAGCAAGCAACCAGTTCTTAGCTGACTGAATGGGGAGGAAAAGCGTTTGAAGCTGACAAATCCTCTCTCCCCCTCATGATGAATCCCACTCTTCTGCAGACCAATTAAAATTTTAACATATGAAATCCTCAATTTTACTGCAAGTACTCAAAACTCTGGTGGGGTAATTAAGCCAACAGAATCGATCCATCTCTCATGGTCACTACTGTTTCTTCCACTGTTAATTAAGATTCTTAGCATGTTAATCAGCAGTCTCAGATTGCCCCAGACAAGCCCAGTGAAATACAGCCAGTGGTAAACATTCAAGCATCATTATAGATCAGACAGTAACTTGCTACCTTAAGATGTCACAAGATTCCTAGAATGATCCACATCCATCTAGTTCTTTCACTCACTGTGAAGCATGCAACAGAGAAATGTTTAGCTCTGTTCTGTCATTGATTCAGGGAGCTCTGCAGCGAGGTTAGTATGCATAACATGTTTTCACTGGAGAAGAACTGTAGCCCACAGCCTCAGCAATGACTCAGGAAGTGCAATTACTTGGCTTGGCTTGCTATCTTTCACACAGAAGTTGCTGTGATTTCACCCGGCTCCCAACCATTGCGGTTATTATGGGTCGTGCACAGAGTGGATTCTGCATGCCAGAGAACACCCTCTGTGTGCAGTGAGAGACTCTTTGCAGATCTCTGCAAAAGCACAACAGAAAGATGGGCAAAGCAAATCTGCTAACCAAACAGCCTCATTTACTTATAGAAAGATTCTATCGCTCTGCTGCACTGCAAATAGCAGTACATTTTCTCACAATCCTTGTAAAAAAGCAGCCAAAGGAAACAAGAGTAGATCCAAGACAAAACATACATGCACACTTACAAATCCACAATGTGGCAAGTTCAAAAGGTGAACACTTTTATTTTAAGCAGGCTTTGGGATAGATGCGTATGTACCCCTTCTAAGCTGCATGCACCCCACAGGCTATTGCCAGTGGAACACCTGGGCGGGCCTCTTTATCTGGCAGCCTCCGTTATCCATTGCCAAACAAGTAGCAACACAGCACTGGAGCAGAGCTAGAGGGGCTATGCCTCTCATATGCTGACCCAGCTTCCTCTTCTATTAACTACTGTCCATATCAACTCTGTCCCTGCTGTCAGTAATAATATAATCAGATCATATTTTTAACCTTTTCCTAATGATGCCCTACCAAAAAGAAAGCAAGAAAAGAAAACCCCATCAGATATTTGCAGGAACATGGCTAGTAGGGCCCAACTGTGTCTTTTGACTGGTATATATAGTTATTCAAGAATATGGGGTAGGTGGTGGACATGGTCAAAAGCAAAAAAAAAAAATGTGGATGAAAATACACACATGATTAGAGAAGATTTTAAAGCAGCATATAGATTTAAAGCCAGAAACATTTTTGCTATGTATACTACCAGAAAAATATGATAAAGGGAACGTGTATTTAATATTACATGTCTTGACAGTAGTGAGAATTGTATTGGCACACAACACTGGGAAAATGAGGAAATACCTACAGAAGAAAATATAATTACAAAAATACTAGATTGTGCAGAAATGGATAGGTTGATATTAAAGATAAAGGATAAAGAAGATACAGAATACTTTTTAACATGGGATTTGTTTTATCAATGGTTACAACAATAGAGGTAGAAATTAGAAATTGGAAATTATGACTATGTATAAGTAAATTGACCCAGATAATACACTGTTTACTAAGAACTTATGTATGTTAAAGAAAAATGTATAAATAAAATAAAATTTTTTAAAAATATGTGGTAGGAAGAAAGAGGTAACCATGATGCAGATGTGTAGTTGCAATCAAATCAAAGACCATAAATAAGAGAGCAGGATGAAGTGAATAGAGGCCAAACAGGAAAGATAGATTGGACTGTCTAGCAAAAAAAAAAAAAAAAACTCCAAGCACCAGAACTTCCAATAGAACAAGTCTGAGATTAAGCAAATGGGCATAAAGCTACCTCCTATTAAAGCCAATGACAGAAGAAGAAGAAAAAAACCAGCAGAGCAGTATTGAAAGAGGATTCAGCTCAACTTCCTTCCAACAGAACTTGCTTTTTTACACAAAGGCTGCAGACAATTTATTAGTATTTATTTGTCTTTCCTCCAAATGCCCAAGCATCATACATTGGTTTTACCATTGCAACAATCCTGTTCATTTGACAGAATGATCTGCCCAAGAGCATCCGTGGCCGAATGTAGATTTGGAGCTGGGCCTCCAAGATTTAGTCCAATACTGACATTCCTGTCTGATTTACACATACCATTATTCTCACCAAAGTAGCCATCATCTTCTCCCTGCATCCATTTCTGTTTACTGTCCCATGTCCAAATAACACCTGGAGATAATGCTTCCTATTTTAATCAAGGAATCAGAGCTGAATATTCGAAGCAAATTAAAAAGTCTAAGTAGGGGCTCAATAGCTGCCAAATGCTAAGCCCCAGGAATGTGGAAAACATTTGTAAAGTTTCATGTTGTTTGTGGTTGTTTTGATTTTATATCAGGTTGTTCCAATCTTATTGGAAGTTTTCCAATGCTGTCCTCACTATTCTGAAAGTGTTTCACACTCAAAACAGGGCCATTTGAGGCTCTTAACCCTTCTTGAAGGTCAAAGCTGCTTTGGAACAATTCCAGGAAAACCAGGGCAGTCCGTGTCAAATTATGGACACAGAATTTTGAATCTAAAAGTTAAGATGATAACTACTTGGCTTGCGTCCACCTTGTTCGGTGGGAAGTATAACAAAACTTGTCATTTAAGGCTTGCAATTCCCAGAGGTAAAACCCCCCACAAAGGGCCCCTGGGGGAATTCTAGTTCTATGCCTCCCAATCTATAACTCGCTTCCAAAATTGCTTTCCTTCACTCCTTTAATCTATCATGTTGAAGTGTCACAACTAAAAATGGCTGTTGGAATGTTATCAGTACTGGGAACTCAATACAGCCAGTAAAATCCTAGGCATGCACTGAAGCCTGTTTGGCTTTCCATATTAGGGGGTAGAGAAAAACCTCTCCCACCCAGATTTAGTCACATGCCTCGTCTTTTTGCTAGGTTGGCAACAAGTAACCTCAATACCCATACCCTTGCTCTTATACTTATAGCATGCTGTCTGTCTGGGTAGTGGGGGAACATAAACATTACAGAATGTCCTGGTTTTCAGCAACATTTCTGCTGTTTGAACACAGTCTTTAGTACCAAACCCTGTTATTAATTCCTTCTACTTTGGACCAGATCCATCCTACTTCTCATCACAGGGAATTTGTAAAGCTGCCTTTATTTTCAAATCAAATAAAATGATGTCATAGGAAGGCTTTAAAAGTCCCTGCTATGCTAGCAATCTCCTTGGCAGGTCATTTTAGTGAATTTAATTCATTCTGGGAACCTGGAATGCTAATCCCAGGAGAAAGAGAGGGGAGGGGACTTTGGCTGCTCAGAAGAGCTTTGGTTTATGCCCAGAAATACTCTATATAACATGTTCAAAGATTTAAAACTACGTGATCTATAGCTGAGAGCTGACTTACTTGAGCTTCATGCAGAATCAACAAAGTCAACTTCAATGGGAGCTTCTCAGTCTGTTTCTAACACACACACACACACACACACACACACACACACACACACACACGGAAGGGAGAAGTATGAGCAGGAGATGCTAGTGAAGCCAAACTCCCTTGGCCCTACATCCACTCCTAGGGAAGTTAACTAATTACTCTATAGGATCAACCCCCTACTGAATTTGGACATGAATTATTTATCAGATTCTGTGAAATATTCATGGTGACCTATTTTACTTAACAAAGTAGGCCCTTGCTGGAGGTAGCTTAGCAGCATACACCTATGGGCTATAAACCTGATCTGAAAAAGTATTTTGGAGAAAGGGAATTAATGTTTTGGAGAACCATTATAAAGACATGCCAATATCATTTCTTTATTACTGGCAGTTTTTTAAATTAAGGTCAGCAGCCGCTCGCCATAAATACTTGTCACTTGTTCCTACATTTGTAATGACCCTAAACAATTCAAAGTCCTTCAGCCAGTGAGTTCAAGCATCTGTGCCAACTGAGACAGAATTCTTCAGGCATTTGGCACAGCTGCTGATTGTAAGTCTCCCAAATAAGACCTTCCACTCATCTTATATGAGCTTGCCCCCTCCTAGTGCCCACTTACTCCATTTTACTCAAATAAAGGTACACAACACCACATAATTAAGTGTCCTCAAGCAAGACAGTGTTGCCTTGTGGTGAGATGGGCAGCAAACAAATTTTATAAATAAACAAATAAATACATTTCAAATTTGAATGCATGGATAGAATCTGCCCAGAATTATCTGTTTCCCCATTACCACCACCAAATCTGGCCTCTCACTGGTGCATTCACTGCTTCTGTAATTGTAACTTGTCTCTTCTTCTTTTTCCCAATTTTTCCAAGCATCATGGACTTCTCAAGGGAGTTGCATTTCCTCATAGTATGTCCAAAACATGCTAGTAAAATGCCAGAGGGCCTAGACTGTATTGTGGTTAGCTAGAGGCTCAGAAGCTTCTTATTTAAATTCTAATAGTCTTTTTTAACTATGACTACTAAATACTGAAGGGCTAGGGTCTTCCAGAATTTTTGAGGTCTGAAACAGATGAAAACAGTAGTATAAGCCCTAGTATTACAAAAATACTGCAAGATATCTGAGATAAGTTTGAGGATTACAAATCCCATAGACCTATCTTATCCTTCTCCTTTTCCTCCCTCTCCCTCTCCCTCTCCTTCTTCCTCTCCCTCACATTTTTTTTTCCAGGAATTACATGGAT